ATATTTAAAAGTGAACTTTAATATGACACAGATTTTTTTCCCTACCATTAGAAATGACAGGAAGTGAAAATAGGAAGTCCTTATTCCTACAGATTACTTTATGGCCATTAGCAGATGCCTCTGTGACCCACAACAGTAAAAAATAATTTTAAAAATCTCCTAATGAGTGACAGTAATATAAAAGTTGAAGTGAAAAATCTGCAGAATAATGTCAAATATATGCAAGATGACACTGATAATCACTGCCTAAAAGCATGTCTACCCCACACTAGCTGGGGGAAAGAAGAATGGGGAGGGGAGTGTTGTGCAGGTTTTACTTCGTGTGTGTGTGGTGTTTGTTGTTTTGGGGCTTTTTTAAGGCAAAAAATACTAAATATAACAAAACAATTTAATACCATCAGTCTGCATGAAAATATGATAGCGTTAGAGCTGTGCAATCTTTCTGGACAATAATTAAAAGGAAATTGGGATCGTGGGGATTAAGCAAGAAAGATGATCCTGGAAAAGAAAGAGCAATAGTTGGAATAACAATGCACTACCTATAGATACATTTTTCCCCTTCAATTCCAGGGAATATATCCACATGATTTCAGTGTACCTAGAGGCCCCAGGCTACATTAGATAAACAATTTACCCTGTGGCACATAACTAAATGCTGAAAAAGAATGCACTGCTTCAGAAAAACAGATTTTTAAGAGGAAAGGTGTTGAGGAGTCTTTCTACTGCTGCTGCTAAAAGATATTTGGAAAGACAGGGATATCTAATGTTTTACATTTTTTTTCCATCAAAATATCTTACCGTAATCTTCAAAAGCATTTACTGGTTACAAGAATGGCACATTACCTGCATTTTATAGTCAGTGATTAACAATGAGAAACGAACATATCTTACTGAAGATGTGGAGGAAATGAAGAGAAACAATTCCTAAATAGCTAGAACATTAGATAGCAATAGCCATATACAGCTTTCATGTTGTTTCTACTTAAATCTGTGGCAAAACTTCTGTTTGCTTCAGCTCATGGAAGCACAGAGGGTAACATGGGAGCACACGTAAATCCGAGTGCAGACATGAGTTCAGAGAAGGATCAATGTAACAAGAGCACATTTTTTCATTACACTAAACCTCTGAATGAGCTACTATGAGAAAAAAATGTAATGAGGAGGTTATGTGACCCATAAAAAATGAAACACTCACCTCCCTGTGACAGAGTCAAACCCAAAATAAAGTTCTTTGCAACGTTCACACGTCTGTCCTGTTACAGAGGCATCTTGGCAAATACATTGGCCAGTTAGTTTGTCGCAGACCTGATTCACTGAACCGGCTACGTGGCACAGGCATGGCAGACAGCCAGTGACACTGGATGGAGAAAAATAAAAACCTGGGGAAAAAAGGGATTTTGAAAACAGACATTATGCAAAAAGTGAACACAGTAAGATTATTATTAACTCGTGTATAATCAGGGATGAAACAACAGAACCAAAGCTAGGTAACACAGGCATCAACTGAAATAAAGCAATACAGTCCTCCTGCAGAGCTGAGCTTCTACACTTTCTCACTGACACTTCGTAAAGCTATTATCCATCCTCCATGTCAACTTCGATTTTTTAGTCATTCTTTTCACATGATTTTAGACAAAGCAAATGCAAAATAGGGGGAGTACATTAAAGTGTTTGTGGGGAAAGTAAAGAACAAAGGAGAAGAGAGTTACTAAAGAATGCACCACAAGCAGCAGAAACCAAACAAAAATAACTTAGGAGAACAGACATTTGATGATTCTAGTCTAGGATCTCAGCTCTGGCAATGGCCAGCTGCAAAAGTCAAGAAATGCACATATCTTCTTGAGAAAGTATCTTAAACTTTGTCAACCTGTGGTTGGCTTAATCCTTGAAACATGATGATGTTTCTTAGGAAAAACTACATTTGATGAGCATTCCCCGGTCTATGTAAAATCTATATTTTGCTCCTCCTCAACATAAAGCTTGTTTCCTACACAAATACTTTCACAGAAACTAATAAACTGATGGGGGGGTGGGGGAAGGGGTTACTTATCTGCCACTAAAAAGCTTTCATTATGAATCCTATCTTTCTGTTCCTGTATTATTTCCAATTACGAACCAGAGCACTCACTTCACCTTCCCCACAGTATATTTGGCATGCTTCTGCTAGACTGTCTGTCATCCTATTACCCTCACAAGCAATCTTTTTTTTTTAATGATGCTGTACCACTTGCATAAACTATTTTGCTATGTATGGAGCTGTTTGTTTGAGTGGTACAGTTGATTAAACACGTAGCAAGTTATAAGAGTTCTGCAAATGATGATGATGACACAGTATTAACTGGCACTGGTCAGCTGCAAGTACCTGTCTTTGAACATCAGTCCTAAGATAGGGCTGTTGATAGGAGTTTCTATCTCTGCCAGCTGGTTACTATTAATTATAATTGCACAACTTCAATAGAAGGATTTCAAGCATTACTCAGATACAGTATTTGCACAGACTTCTCAGACACTTTCCCTCTCTCTCCAGATAAAGTTCAATCAGTTTCTTCCTAGTCATGTTCTCAGTTACCAAACCCTTTTTGCTGTCCAATAACTTCCGGATGTCCTGCTTTATAATAAAGAGCCCAAAATTGTATTGTAACATATCGCCCAAGGCCTTATTATTTATTTTGTCTTACAAGATATAGCTTTATATATACACCCTAGGGTGGTATTCTCTGTCTTTGCAGCAGTGTTGTGCTGTGAGCTTACACCCAAATAGCAGAGGAACTAAACAAATTGAAAACATTAGAATTTTACTGCTCAAATCTTTGTTCAAGTTTAGCCTCTGGTCCTCAGTGAGATAAATCTCAAGTGGACAGTGAAGTGATATCAGCCTCCAGTTAACATACATTCGCATCATAAAAAACCATGCTGTTGGCACTTTATTCCAGAGAGGCCCCAAACTGAGCCACCACAGAGACTGAATAGCTTGAAGTTATTAGTGAGGCGGCATGTATTATCTCATACTGCAGTTGTCTGCGCAGTACAGTGCCCATCCTGTGCATAAATAGAGGAGACTATTTCCCAGCAATGTCACTCTTGAGCACAATGAACGACTCCACTCAAAGAACGTAACAGGATGAGAGGAAACAAGTGTAAGCCTGGACTCCCACAGAAGGTCAAAGCACTTCTTCAGGAACCAGTTTATAGATGCAGTAAATGATAAGCACTCAGGCTAAAACAGATCCTTGTCCATCTGAAATTTTGCATGAAACTAGCATCTAAGGCTCCAGTGTGTAAATAAATAGACCTTTAAAAAATAAATTCATTTCAGCTGAGCAGGATTGATCACTACAGCATATACTGGTTTTGTCATAGCAGTGAAATTCATAATTATAAAGAATCTATACTTTTATGTTAAACATCCTGGCTTTACTAATGTTATACCACCTAAACCACTGCAGAACAGTGAAGGATTTGATATGATACTTTTTTTATAATAATTTATTAGAAATGTTCTAAAATTTAGGTAAGTTTCTGCATGCTGCCACAATTAATATTTTTCAGAATTAGCAAGTTAAAGGAAAATATTTTTTTAAAGTAAAAGTGAGAGATAGGAAAATGGGAGAAAACCCTTCCCCAAACTAATTTTTAAGTAGATTAATTTAAATGTAGACACTGTATTACAAATTCATACTGTTTGTCATAACCATTATTATTATTTACTTCCACCACCTAGAATTTGGCAGGAAAAAGAAAGAAACAACTTAATGCAAGTTTAATTTACAGCAAGGTTAGAAGGGCTCATAAAGGTTGCTTTATGAAGGATCCACTGTTGTATAATAGAGCCAATTTCCAATTTTAAGACAGCCACTGCAAATCTCTACAAGATCTACGTATATAACCAGTATCATGCATATTCTTTTTCAGATTTTTGTCCAACTGAACCATAACTGATCACATTTGTCAATCAAACATACTCTTCAAAAGGAAGAATGAAAGTCATAACAAAGTATTCAGTTTCCTTTTTTAATCATACTCTTACTATTTCTCCCTGTGTATAGTTCATGGTAAAGGAACACCCAAACAATTCCTTAGCACTTTCACACGCTTAGCAGCTACGGCAGTAATGCTCATTTAACCACAGTCTGTGTTTCAACATGCACAGTTAACACCACAGACAACATTGTCACAACATACTTCACATATTTCTAGCCAAGAAGACAAGCACCATGTACACAAAATCTCAGTATTGGTGCCCAGTCCCTCATCCTACATGCACATTTACATCTTTTCTGTACTAGGTACCACTCCATGAAAAGCTGTGGTAACTGAGTAAAGAACTTACAGAATGCTTTTTTATTATTTTTATAGCTTTGTAAAATAATAAAAAATGAGAGCATTTGTTGCTCTCATAACAGGATTCAAGGCCTGTGCCGAACAGGACTTGTATGGCACAAAAGCCAGTTGACATGGCAGCACAGTCCCAGAATAAGACAAGGACCAACTGTTCACAACTATCTGGGGGCTGGAAAGATATGTTTTCTACCACTGCAACCTAGGACATGTAAAAAGCAAGTTTATATACAATGTAAAACTGCACTTCGATTTGGTTTCATGTTAGAATCAAGTGTTTCTCTCTGCATACACCATTGGTTTAAAAAATTTTAAACTTTACAGAATTCTAAGAAACACGTTACTTGGTGGAAAACAAACTGGAAGAAAGCAGGTCATGGATACAGCCTAACAGATGAAACACACGTCTGAATGCACAGAAAATATGCTACAATGGAACATTATTTAAATGCCACTAACTGTAACAGACTTGTGTATGTACATGTAACTAAACTGTAACAGGCTACATACATACTTGAAGTACATTTTTTATCTTTGTCCCAAGGCACATCCATAGGACATATTTAAAGTACTTGAAGCCAATTAAACTCTTCCATACTTCTGCAACTTAATACCAGTATTATAGGAGGTTGTACTCACCCCTGTGTTATAGAAAACTCTGCTTTGGAACATACTACCAAATAATACTTATTTAAAAGTTAGATATACTAAATGTGCAAATGAGATCACACTGGGATTAAGACTAAAATGTCAGTGACAATCATGTAGTACCCTGTGCTACCATAAGAGCAACACAATGCTTGTACAATGACAAGGATTTACACTTTCGCCTGCAGTAGACAGCTCAATGTTCAGCACATACATGCTTATACTTCAAAAATTTAAAAATAATTTTTACAGCAAGGGTTTTTTTGGGGGTTGGTGGTTTTTTTTCCTTGCTGTTGTTTAACAGGAGCTATTGTGGAAGTATTCCTTTGAGTGCCATGTAAGCTTTCCTACAAACCAGTCTGTTCACACTATCAATTAAACCTTTTTAAACCATTTAGTTCTGCATAAACCCTGGCCTTTCTTTTTCAAGGACAAGGGCGGTCACTGACTCGGGAAGCCTTGACATCACTCCTCTGCCGATCTCTGATTAAGTGGCTGCTGTAGAGGGTTAGCAGGTCAAATAGCACTGGAGGAGGAACTAAGAAAAACAGAATGCTGCCTTATTTATTAGTATATGTACCTAAAATAATTTAAATGAAAGTATTTTTAAAAATACTTAATGGAGGTTAAGCAGTTTTTTTTAACCTCTGTTCAAATTATTGAATGGCATATTAAAACCAATGGAGCTATAATGTACCTTTTAATGTGACCTGCTACTTTAATAAATTGCATATATATTTAACTTGAACTAAATCTATCTGTTTAACATTATTACTAAGGGTAGGTTAATATTACCTATAGTTTCATTTTACCCACCTACATAAAAAAAAAAAAACCACCACACCACACATTAACATATAACTACAGAGCTTCCACTTAATAATGAACATTTGAGCTCTGTTTACAGTAAAACAGTACAAAATCCTGACCTGGTACAACTGCAGTAACACCTACTTGTAGGGCCTAACTGTGAGCAGCCCTTGTGAAAGCCAGCACATCCTCAACACAGCAAGGCAGGCAAATGCTTTCAAAGTGGCATGTTTGCCAGCCTCATCAAAGTTTAAGCAACCATCTCGGTACCCACCACTATGCTCAGCTTTATGCATGAAATGCCCTTCCTGACGAGCTTGCGCTCTGCCTTCCAAATCCACATTTTTCATTACCAGGGTAGCTGCTGTTCATTAACTATTCTAGCCTACCTCTTATTCAGGGAACAGGCGGTGACAAGTTGTGTATTTTCTCAATATCTGAAAGAATTGGCCCAACCTTATTTTAGACATATTGAACTGCAGTAATAACACAAATCATACAACCTCTGGCAATAGAATAAATATTTGATGGAGATCAGGATGCTAGTACTTCCTTCTCACTCACACAGTTAGGAAAAAATGGATAAATAACAGCACACGTCAGAGACGTCGAACGTGAAGCTGTCTAAGCACATACTAAAAACCACAGGAACTACAGTGTTATCCAACAAAGCAAAAGTCACTATGTCAAATAGATTGCCTTCCAATTTCCTTACCTGGTTTACACTCGTTACACCTTCTCCCCTGACGCTGAGGGAGACAGACACACTGTCCAGAAACGTGGTCACAAACTGTTCCTGCCAACGTGCCCCCAGCATCGCAGTCACAGCGCTGGCAGCCGAGGAGGTTGTTCAGGCTGAGGTCGTACGTATGAGGCTTGCACTGACTGCACTGAAGGCCAGTTACACCAGCTTTGCAAGGACACTGTCCTGTTGACTTGTCACAAAGCAGAGAGCCATTTACTGTGCCTGCCTTATCACAATTACACAGCAGACAAACAAAGGAATGTTTGTCCTGTATTTTGCGGTAGCCATCTAGGCATTCGTCGCATCGTCTTCCTCCAATATTTGGTTTACATGCACATTGTCCTGTCTTTGCATCGCACACAGTCCCAGAATATGATCCTTCAATGCTACATTCACATGCCTTACAACCAGTTATATCCAGCCCATAAAAGTTGTCCATGCAGGTGTCACAGTGAAGTCCTTTCACTCGTTCTTTACAGTTGCACTGCCCGGAGAGAGGGTTGCAGAACTGGTTCACTGAGCCGTGGCTGTTGCACCAACAAGGCTCACATCCATCTTCATTAGAATATCCAAGAGCTTTAAATCCAAAATTGCAACTATCACACCTAAGACCTGGATAGAAAAAAAGTATTAATTAAAAAAAAAAAAAAGCTGAAAATGTATTAGTTTCAGTTCAAAAAAAGGACAAGTATAGTACACTTGAGATGTGTGGGGGAAGAGACAGAAAAAGGAAAGTACTAATATTCTTCACAAATATAATTATCAGGAATGTAAGGGCTGCACAAATCAACTGAATAACAGTGGCATACCAAAAATCTGTTTATTTTTCTAATTTGTTTCAAAAGCAGAGCATTTCTCATGGCTTTTCAACACAATTTAAGATACTTCTGCAAGAGATTCTTTGTAACATTTCTAAGACAAGCCAGAATTAATCTCTTTGTCCCCCAGAACAGCACCTGTTGCCCAATCAATGCCTACATGAACCCTTCACCCTATAGCGTAGAAATGCAATACACAGGGAACTGCACTGGGCTCTCAATCTGGCTCATCACAGATTTATATTATATTAAAAACACTAAACGTACTCTTGGACACAAGTTAGACTAGTTATGAGGAAAGATTTACTTCACATTATACTTCAGTTTTAACACTGATTACCTTTATGTTAGTGTTTATTGTTAGCCCTTACTGAAAGCAGAAAATGTTTTCCGTAATCCAAAATAAAGTATTTTTATCCAAATGTATGATTTAGTTACCTCCTGCAGCACATTAAAATCTGAACTGTTTTCTTCATACTTCATTCTGTAGTTTTATTAGTTTTGTTTTCAAAGTCGGTACTTCCTTTATCCCTGCCCCAAGGGATGGCATTTGTATTTTAGTTTATATAAACGTACATTACAAGAAAGCAAACCAGATTATTATATGAAAAATGCAAATTCAGATTTATGTATTTTCCTTTGCAATGGGAAAATCCTTCACTATGAAGTCATCACTTCATTGTTGCATTTAGAAAAATATAGATACAATGATTTAGCAAAATATTTTCATCCTTTCAAAAATACAAAATCAGGCAAAAATACATTTAGCAACTTATATGTAGAAAGATAAAACTAAAAATCGTAGGAAATGCATTATACATATGGCTAAAAACTCAAAAACTCCAACAGAAGGCAAGTTCCTTTAACAGTGATGAATGACTCACCTAAGGCATATCATTTAATTTCAATAAGGAAAATAAAAAAGGACCACTATTGCTGCAAATTTTAAAAATAACTGTATTGTTAACAAGAATTATGACTCATTTTGAACTATTAAAATTGGTCTACATGGATTCATATCATATCAGTTTTAAAAATATGCGCAGTGCTTATTTGAATATGCCATACATATTCCTGACAGGTAATCTATTCCTAACGATACTGAGGAAGGCCTACAGGGCATCACATTCAATGTTAACAAGTACAGGGGAGTTAGCACGCTTGGCATTTAATTCACATTCTTCTACCTTTTTATTCTAGATGAATGACCTACTTTAATAAAATTATTGGTGCTAATGTATTTTACTGGTGATAGAATCATTAGTAAGATTTAACAGTTGTGTTAACTCTAACAGTTCATGTTTCATAACACAGTAGTCCATAGTTGCATTTTTCTGTTACTGTGTTTGTTTAAAGAGATAAAATGGCAGTAGACAGATTGCTCTAAAAACCAATTTAGAAATCCAAAGAGGAAAGCTCTTTGTTAAAGTTTGTGGCACACATTCCAATATACAGAAGCTAATTTACAATCGGTTTGGGGGAAAAAAAAAAAAAAAAGACAGACAATCCAGTCTGGAAAGATTTAGGTCTTTATCCTGTGAATAAACACATGCATAACTACTGCCCTCCCCCACCCCACCCCCCATAGCTACAGACAAATTTGCAGAAACCATAGATTTACACATTTTTTTAATTACTATTTCAGTGGAAATAATAATAATTCTTATTGTCTCCATCAAAGGGAGAAAATATTTAAAATAATATGTAGACAATCAAATACTTGAGAACCAGACTGTGCATTTCTTGTATACAACTCCCACTAAGTTAAGAAAGGTTTTCACAGATGCAAATGTGAAATGTAGGAATGTAGGCAAAGAATATATAATTAAAAATGTTTTCAAGTCCTTTTTATCAAAAGTAGAGAGTGGGTTTAAGATGCACAGAGTTTATTTTCTCTCTTAGCACCCTTTTTATCCTATGGAAAACATCAGTACTTGGCATTCCACAGGAGGGAGGACAGAAACTGTTCAGGCTTAGATCTCTTTAGAGTTATTTTCACTATCTGTTTTTATTTGTATTTGGTTTGGAAATTAGAAAAAAAAAGAAGAAACAAAGACTCACACTATTACAAATAAGTCAATATTCACAAGTCAGTGAGTTATAAATTAACATATACTTAAACATTATTAATGCAACCCACAACCAAAATTAACTAAAAGAAAAAACATTACTAATTGTGTTAATAAGAAAGCAGAAAAGGGATTTTTTTGTTTGTTTTGTGTTTGGGGTTTTTTTTGAGACATATGTATAGCCTGAGACATGTACAGTTACCATGCAAGGCTCACTTTATCAGGAAATTCTCCTTGCATAATATTCCCATACATCAACATTTCAAAGTGTATTATATATACTGTGTATTTTGGGCACTTGATAAATTTTGTCCTTATGTGGCTGTGGCTCCCCTCAAATATGCTGGAAGTAATAAATTGCTATAATCAAATCTAATTTCTGAAAAATACCTGTGGGAGTAACAAACAAAAAAGCACGTCTTGTAAAAAAATGATAAATAACACAGAAGGTAGCAGTTTATTATAATCAGCTTGGCATTGAATTACAAAATTAAAATTATGTGGCCCTTGATAACTAACCCTAGCTATGCACATGATCTGTGGAATTATGTTGACTTATTTTGCATTTCATAGGAACAGTTCAAAGAAATGTAATAGAAAAAAATGGATAGATTTATCACAAAGGACCCTGTAGCATAGAATATTTTGAGAAAAAAATCCATTTATTTTGGTCTATTAAGAAAACTAGCATGGAAACGATTTTCTTAGAACTCATTAAGTATAAAACATTCTGAAAAAGTGTTAATTTCCTAAAAGAAACATCTATGCAGTAAGCAAATTACATTATTTCTGTGACATTAGTATGGAGCTATGTAGCTAATGTAGCTATGCCATAAAGAAACTTCTAAAGGGTTGATTAAGCTTCAAGGTGTAGTTTGATAGAATTATTAAATTAATACATTTTCAACAGTTAATTTCATTCATTTTTATAATCTGCCCTCAGCAAAGAGTTTACTATACTTTTCATTTAGAAATCAAGTGGGTTTATTTCCAGAGATAACAAGAAAAATGGCTCCAAACTCTTGCATTACACATACCAATAACATTCGCTTTGCACTTGCACTGGCCTGAATTTTGGTGACAGGTAATATCTCCATTGACTGTCCCAGAGGTATTACAGTTACAGGGACTGCAGCCATCAGGGTTTGACTGTTGTAGGTTGTAGAATCCTTCCTGGCACTGATTGCATTGTCTGCCAGACACATGTCTCTTACAATTACACTGGCCTCCAATCTAGAAAGATACAAAATATTATAGAATGATGAACATACCTATTTTTAGATGATAAGCTCATTAGCAAAAAGAATGGGAGTATGGGTTGGGGAGGAGAAAACTTTAAATGGAACAGAAAAATATAAGCCCGTGAAAGACAGACTTTTTTAACTTCTTGAGAGAGAGAAAAAAGACAAATGTTAAACAGAGTGTAACTATTCAATTTTTAAATAGAGTTTAAAAAAGTCTTGTTCTCTCAAAACAGAAGGAAAAAAGAATTGAGTAAACAATGTGGTAATATTTACCATCTGGACAGAGAAAACTGCAAAGAATAATTACAAAATCACATAGGATAAATGGTGACTTCTATTAAAACAAACAGTACTTTTTTGAATCACAGTTACTGCAAATCACTATCATTTTCAAAGGTCAAGTTTTGCATTTTTTTGTTCAGACCATATGCTTATTTATTTTAGGGAAAATGTTAGTTAAATAAAAATGAAACTAAGTTGAAAGATTTCCTTTCTGATTACTCATCCAGAATAATTTTTCTGTCCCTTTACAGAAGGATATGACCCAACAGCTCAATATCTGAAACCCTCACCCTCTTTTCTTGGTTCTGATGGGATCCAAGCCTTCCACTCCGGAAGTGGGATATAAAGGACCTCTCCTACTCCCTTAATGGGTAGCGTTGCTATTTCGAAGGAGCGGAGGCATCCTTTGTTATGCCTAGGCCATGATCTGAGAATGTTTATCTCACATCTTGTGCAAGATTAAAGGGTTCCTGGAAAGCTACCTCAATTTCAAACCTCTGAAAGCCAGAAAAAAACCCCAAACCAATCTCTGCATTCATGACTTTCCAACATGGTGGGAAAAAATGACCACAGGGAAAGGGCAGTGGCACAGGGATGGGGAAATGAACGGCAGACATCAGTCAACACACAACATAGATGAGAACAGGGAGTCAAAGCAACAGAGAGATGTAGGAGATGTGAACTGGCAAAAGGTTTAGGATTCGTAATCAAGGAATAAAAAATAACTTTTCTAACTCAAGTGTTCTGGGGAATAGAGAAATGGCAGCAAACAATTAAACTCTGTCTTATAAGTAATTTCCTTTGGGTCAGTATATTTTTTTTTCAGTGCAAATATTTACAAATATGGAAAAGTACAGTGATTCAAAACTAGTTATTTATCTACAACATCCACAGCTGTAGTCCAACGTACTTTGCTTTTGCTAAATACCAGACCAAAAATTTCTCTTAATATCAGTTATCTTTTTCATCATCTTGAACCTATGAGTCAGGAAAAGCTGAAACAACAGGAGAGTTCTGCGGCATTAGAGCAAAGCTATGTGGATGTTCCAATTAAAATAAATGCTATTGTCACACCCTCATATCTACAATGAAGATCTAAGCTTTATTAATACGAGTATTTCAACATCTAATAGTAAATTGTCAGTGCAGAAAACACTGAATACAAGTTAGAGAAGCATGTATGCCTACCCTTTCCTCATAAAAGAATTCCATAGTCCAATAAAACCTCTTCAATATGCTTTCATGATAGAGATCTATTACTGATTTATCAGTCATATTTTTCAGCAAGATGAAGGTATTAAAAAGGCAACAAAACAATATTTTAAACATAAGGCAAGACAACAGCAAGTACAAAATTGTAAGAGAGTTACGAGAGACCACAATAGCAGAAAACATAGCAACAAGGATTTTCAAGTTATTCCCTTTTAGACTGGATTTGATCTAGATACTTAGTTTATTATAAGAGACCCAGTCATGCATCACAGCTATTCATCAGATAACTCACATGTGAAAAGCAGCCCTGAGTTTAATCCTAAATGAAGAAAAATACCCCATTTAAAACATAACTGTAAAAGAAACGCTTTGTGTTAGTGATCACAGCATACTCAGATTACAAAATAGCAAGTATTATATCAAGATGCCTCATTAGCACTCAAGACATAACTCATACCCAAAAACACTTTAAAGTTACTCCAAAGGCTACCACATGAAGGAAAGCATTAGATGCAAAAAAAAAAAAAATCATCTTCAAAAAGTGGACATCAGACCAAAATAAGAAGTTAATTAAGAGAGGATAACCACCACCAAATTTTAAAAGCAGAATAAGGCAGTACAAAAATCAGCTTTTACTGAGCAACATGCTTAAGGCATGAAGGGAAAAAAAGGTATTTTTCAAATGTAATAAACAAAGAAAGACTTGATAATCAACGAGGGCAATAAATAATTAAGTGGTATCAGATTCAGATTGGACATCAGTACTTTTTCACTAAAAGGGAAGCGCTGCATCAGTAACAGGTTGCCCAGAGGTGTGGAATCTCCATCCCCAGAGGTATGAAGACTAATCCAGACAAAATCATGACTGACTGGGTCTAGTGCTGCCAACAATCCTGCTTTGAGCTGCAGAAGATGACCAACTAATGGTTCTATGATTCTGTATGGCATTCAGGAAAGATTGAACCACAAGAGAGATTGGAAAGAAAGTATTTGACAGATGTGCACCATGGAAGTGGCGTTACCATTCTATATTAGGGACAATTTTCAAGACTGGTTTCAAAACGAAATGTGAGAAGGAAAAGATTTTAGCAAGATCTCGTCTGTTGAAATGTGACCCCACATGAGTCAACAGTTTTAAATTAACGGAAATATAAAATTATCGAGTTATTAATTGCTTAAATCATCCTCAGTAAGAGAGGAATAAAATTATAAAAGTTACATCAATCTCCCAGAAAGGCTGTAAGGAAGCTTCTGAGATCTACAATCTCATGCTTTTTTCTATACAGAGCTAATTAATAAAAATTAAAACATGAGTTTGATACATTGGAAAAGATTGGTACCTTTTTGCAAAGAAAAATCATGTTTCATTATTCTACTGCATTTCTTTAAATCAGCAATATCTGGAAATATTACATATGCTGAACCAAAGGGATGATCAAAAAGTCAAATTAATTTCTATGTCAGGAAATACAAACTTAACACCTGGGGAAAACCAATGCTGACTATAGGTAGACAGTGATGATTCCAAAATTAGCTATTATCACTCAAGAAAGAAGCTGTTAAAGCTGCTCCTGTAGGAATACTGGAATTATTAGGAAAGGAACTGAAGATTATACAGAAAATGCCAATCTGTCATAAAAAAAAAATATTGTGTATCAATATTTTGCACAATTTATATATGTCTGGTTACCCTCTCTAAAATAAAAGAGGTCACAGAGTGAGTAGAATAAGCAAAGACACAAATGAGAAGAGACTAAAAAAATCACCCCACAATACTTTTCCATTTTGTAGGAGATGAAGGGAATACATGTCTATAAAATCATGAATGGCTTACAGAATGAATATTCATTATTTCTCACAATATAAGGAGAGAACTCCCAGGAAATTATTACTTACACACTTCAAGTGTACAGAAAAATGCTCTTTTTTTTGAAGTGCATTAACAATGAGTTAGATTAATTCCATATGTGGACATCAAACATAACAATTCAGATTAAACCCCTGAGTTGAGCTCAGGTAGTCCCAAAACCTTAAGTAACTGGAATTTACAAAAGTATATCACAAAAGGATCGTACATCTTAATGCCAGCTTCTGTTGACTGAGAGGAGACTGTGCTAGATGAAAGTCTCATTTCATCCAGTATGGCTGTTCTTATCATAAAGACGTGGAAACTGAAGTCTAACTGTGAGCAGATGGTAACCATTGCCTGATGCAACAAGTGAAATGTGCAGACTACTGACTGCTGAGAGAAGCAAAGAGCGCCAGTATTTTCAGCATCATTTTAAGCGTCAAGCTATTATAAGAAGCAGTAATTTCTATCCCATTCAGTTGCAGAAAATGTATGTCCCCAAACTTTCTCTTAATAGGGTAAAAAATTATGCCAGAAGAATAAATATAACTCTTCAGAATGAGGGAGAAATAACTGGCCAACCAAAGAATATAATTCACATTTTCTGCAGGAATCAGACAATGAAACCATTTGGAGATGTCCCTATATAAATTTTCTCCTACCTTGCTGTCACACAGAAAAGAGTTTTCCATCTGTAATCAATAGAAGTGGCAACTCGTGTCCTGATTCTAAAATGAGCGGAAGTCTGTCATGGCAGTTAGCGGAAGGTATAGGAAACTAAAGTTTCTGTTAGAGAGAAAGGCTTATCAGATTGCTTCTTAATAGACTTGAACATAGGCTTCCATGTACCAGACTAGAGGATCTCTAAGTAATCCACTGACATCTTCCATAACACTGATTTCAAAGTCTTGGGGGGGAAAAAAAAGGGGAAATCAATCAGAAAAAAGACATTCTATATACAAGACAAAAAAGAGCCTCTGATTCTACTCAGGAAAGACTATTTTGGTTTGGTTTATATCTAAATGTCTAGAAATATCTCCATTTTGTTGCTTCTGTCAATATAGGATATCAAGAGGAAATGGGCACTTTAATTTCTTTGTGCAGACCAAGAAGCACCAAAACAATCCAGCAGCACTGTGAAATGCTTGGCAATGGATACTGTTACAAAGAAGTCATACGAATTGACAAAAGTTTACAAGGGTACAAAAATAGGTGCACCACAGTTTATAATATGGAAATCTACATCAAAATTGGTAGAACAAAACATTTCTATAATCACATAAAAATCCAGATTAATTATGAAGCAAAGGGGTTTTTAAATTATTATTATTTCTGCAAATCTAGCTTGCTCTGGAAACAATGGTATCATTGAGAATACCAGTAGCAATTAATATTTAAAGATTTTTGTTAACCAGGATTTCACCAGTTAATGTACTGGAGATATTACTGAACCTCCCCCTAGACCCCTCCCCTCAATCCAAATGCTATCTGTCATTTAAAGAAATAGACTGTAATTATGCTAGTTGTAGAAGAGCAGAAAGCAATCCATTCTCCCATTGCTGATGGTTCTGACCCAAACAGTAAGCAGACAGAAACAACCTATTAACATGACCATTTTGGTACTAAATCACTTATGGAAAATATCT